TAAATAAAATACTCTTATATTAGCATATTCAACCATACAGGATATCTCGAATTAAATGTCCAACCATATAGGACAAATTGGTACCAAACCATAACAGATATATACATATATATATAAATATACAAGCATATCCAACCACACAGGACATGACAAATAATTGTCCAACCATACAGGACAAATTATTTACCAAACCATACAGGATACATATTGTATACAAGCATATCCAACCATACAGGATATGTCAATTAATTGTCCAACCATACAGGACAAACTGGATACCAAACCATACAGGATATATATATACTGTATAAAAGCATATCCAACCATACCGGATATGTCAAATTAATTATCAAATCATACAGGATATACATATACTGCATACAAGCATATCCAACCACACAGGATATGGCAAATAAATTGTCCAACCATACAGGACAAATTGGTTACCAAACCATACAGGATTTATATTGTCTACAAGCACATCAAACCATATAGGATATGTCATTTAATTATCTAACCATACAGGACAATTGGTTACCAAACCATACAGGATATATATATATATATACTGTATAAAAGCATATCCAACCATGCAGGATATGTCAAAATAATTATCAAACCATACAGGATATACATATACTGCATACAAGCATATCCAACCACACAGGATATGGCAAATAAATTGTCCAACCATACAGATAAATTCATTTGGTAACCAAACCATACAATATATATACACTGTATACAAGCATATCCAACCATACAGGATATGTCAATTAATTGTCCAACCACACAGGACAAATTGGTTACCAAAACATACAGGATATATATATACTGTATAAAAGCATATACAACCATACAGGATATGTCAAATTAATTATCAAACCATACAGGATATACATATACTGCATACAAGCATATCCAACCATACAGGATATGGTAAATAAATTGTCCAACCATACAGGACAAATTGGTAACCAAACCATACAATACATATACACCGTATACAAGCATATCCAACCATACAGGATAGCTAAAATTAATTGTCCAACCATATAGGACAACCTTGGTTACAAAACCATAGAGGATATATATATATATATATATATATATATATATATATATATATATATATATATATATATATATATATATATATATATATATATATATATATATATATATATATATATAGATAGATAGATAGATAGATAGATAGATAGATAGATAGATAGATACCGTGTACAAGCATATCCAACCATACAGGATATGGCAATTAATTGTCCAACCATACAGGACAACCTTGATAACTAAAAAATACAGGATATATATACACTGTATACAAGCATATCCAACCATACAGGAGACATCAAATTAATTGTCCAACCATACAGGACAAACTAAGGTACCAAACCATTAAAAAAAGAAAAGCGATATTGTACCCAACCATACAGGGCATAATACCATAGTGAAATTTGCCCCCATCATTTTTTTTAAAATTATGAGCCCAATGGGGCTAATGAATCACCTTTTGGCAGTTCCAAAAACAAAGCTTAAATAATATACAATATGAATACCTGAATAGGTTTACCAGTGTAATTATGCATCCAACCCCATGGCAAATCATGAAATCAAAATAAGCGACTGACTGTAATAGCTACATGATGAACAACAAATGTAACTTACTCTAACTACATGCATTTGCAGTGTTAAATTTTCTTCATATGCCATCAGTAGCATTTGCCTGACAGGCCACAGGCCTAAGTTCCTTAATGAAACCAAAAACATTGAACGCACTTGTAATCTACCCAAACTTGACCATATCAAAATAAATTGTTATATAAGTATTAAAGTTTTATAATACTGCCTACAAGCTTTTAAGTGCTGAAACAACTGACTCCCTAACACTATTCTAATACTTTGTGTAACCATGTGCTCCTTTTAGGTGCACACTATTTTAACAGTTTACTTTATTCTCATTTTCTGATGACCACAATCTTGAGTGATTCAAAAATATTACACCAGAACCAAACTCTCTGCCTGATTTAGCATTTAAAATCCTGTTTACCAACGAAACCTTGACATTGAACCATTCAGATTCTCTTAAGAACCTACCAAGATTACCTGGTGGTTTACTATGGAGAATTCGTTATATGTACACATACACTGTGCACTCCATGACCCCGGATTTTTCTCAGCGAGTGAAACATTCTCAACCCAGTCGTATAACTGAACATATAGACTACACAAATCATTAGAACCTGATTGTGTACGTACTAAAGCGGGTTTAATTTTATCAACTTTATCAACTTCTCCAAGCCTACTGAAAGTATGTCAATTTAATGCAACCCGAATATCCTCTATATGGAACCTTCTCGCCGAGATACAGATAGAAATTGACATTTGACTGTTCTAAACACATTTTGCAAACGAACAATGAATGAATGTCCGGGAAGTTTCTAGTATGCCGGTCCCCAGAATCACGCGATTGTGCATGAGCAGTTATTTCCCTTGCCGTTGCTATGCAGAATGTAAACAAACCGCCATTTTCCCCTCGCTTCAACAAAACGCACTCGATCGAGTGATTAGGGTTAGAGTATATTGTTTTAAGATTGGAACTGGTTTATAAATCCACTCTTAAATCTTCCTGACTTTGGGCTAATTCATGTAATTTTTGCTTACAAAAGGCACTGCCAAGTGCCTTTTGTGACCAAAAACTTGCATGAATCAGCCGAATGTCGAACCGTGCCGATATACCATCTTATAGGAGTAAAGCATGAAACATGCAAAACTTAAACAAACCGTTAATTAAATATGGCATTGTATGCGATCTACGGATTAGGGTTAGAATATAAATAGCTCGGATATTGTAACTGTTTTATATTCACCCATGCTCGCATCTATATCACTTTGGGCTTATTCGTGCAATTTTTGCTTACAAAGAACCGGAAGAACAGGAAAGTTTTGCGAAACTTGGATGAATTAGCCTTGGTCTAATGTTGAAACATGTCCGATATTGTGCGCTTAGTTTTGGCAAGTATTTGGTAAAAGCGACGTACCGTTTACTTAAGCTCGATATCCTAACCTCCTAATGTTCATATTCAGAATATTTTTTCTTTCAAATCAATGGTGATGCACAATTCAATCAACCAATTACTAGTAATTAGTTCTCACTTGTTAAATCCCTGCACTTCTCACAAAATCTCGCAATTTTAGTAGCATTTCACTTTGAGGCCTATCAGCTACTTCTTCATCAGTCTTCAATACGTCAAAACACAAGTGACGCACGTCATGAATATTTATAAGATTACGTCAAAAACTGATCATGTGACCACATTCCTAAACAACGCAAAATAGAGTTTTATCTACTAAACAAGTACGTTATTTTACGAAACCTTTTAATTCTCATTTTAAAAACTGTGTTTAAAAACCAGTTTTTTAAACCCAATTTCTCACAAGGAACACGATTTTTGGCTCAATTTCGCGATCATATTATATTGTACACCGCCTTCGGCGGCACCTATTTTAGCGCCATATTTATAGGGACCGGTATACTAGAAGTGTTCCGAATGTCCTTGAATCAAAACACTATTTTGCATGACTGAAACGATATAAATACTCACACCCTAGTAAAATTTGTAAACAACCTTTTCGGAGCCAAAAGTTATTTTGATAAGGATGAGGCTAATAGCCGTAACTAGATGGCGCTTAAATATAAAACCCGGAAAAACCCCTCAAGACTCATGAATTGACACAAAGTAGTGATAAATAAAAATAACAATCTTGTATGTATTTAGATCACATAAGGCCATCATTAAAAATATCTTTGTTTCCCCTAACCCGACCCTAAAATTTTAAGTTGGGTAGGTAGGTAAATAAATAATTTTTTTTCTGACAGCAGCTTTGAAAATACATTCTGAATTTCTGATAAGAACGGGTTTTCATGAAATTGTACTTTATAAAAGTTGATAAACATTAAAAAAAAAATATTTGAATAATCTTCTTAAAAAAACTTTTCAGTCGGCGGGATTTAATTGGGTCGGTTGCGTTAGGGGAAACAAAGGTATTTTTTATTTTGGCCTAAATTCATTTATATACATAAATACACAAAGATGCCATCAAATTTTTACTGATTGCTACTACACGGTAACCACCCCTTGAAAGACAATCTATTTAAAAGTAGATGCTCTGAATCCGCTACTTCTTCTTAAAGTGGTAGTGGATCCGGAAAATCTAATTTTAATTAGATTGCTTGAAAGAGTATACGGCCCTTCATTTAAACAAATTTAAACCCCCTATACCCAAGGATGCTTTGTGGCAAGTTTGGTTGAAACTGGCTCAGTTGTTCTAGAGAAAAAAAACGAGAATGTGAAAAGTTTAAAGACGGACAGGCAGACAGAAACAGATGGACATTAAGATGTGATCAGGAAAGCTCACTTGAGCTTTGAGCTAAAGTGAGCTGATAAAAATAATAGGGAAAAAGAAGATGAACAAAAACAAATAAATGGTCTTCAGTTGGAGACGTAAGACAATCATTAAAACAAGCTGTATAATGATTGTTATATTTTTCTAACTCTGCGTTTGAATTGAAACAATCTCATTTTACGTTCAGTACAAAATTCAAGGAACAATCCTCGTCTTCTTGGAACCATTGCTTAAAAATATTTAAGGTACATGTATTTGCGTTTTCAAACAGATAAATATTCACTGGACTCTTATTCATTTACAGCTGCTAAAAGCTTTTGCAGAAATGGCAACCTTAGCTACCATGAAAAATGCATTTGGCATTCATGTCTCCTAGATCCTCAGGAAAATAGTTTATTTGTCATGAAAATTGTTAAGATCATAGAAATTTAGGTAATATTTAGATATTTAGAAATATATGAACAAAACTAATTAGTCATTTTTTTTTTTTACAAATGATTTATATCAATACGGCTTTGGTAAACTGTGAATATAAAAATCCCCCTTTATTAGGAATAATGTATAGAATACTATACCTGGGTTTTCACCATCAATATTATTGTCAGTGTATACTTTTAACTCCAGCATGTCTGTTTCATTGTTGAAAGATATGTCACACTTCACCATTCTAAATCTATATTCATGCAACATCTCACAAGTTGAATCCAACAAACAAAAGTTTTTCTTGGAAACAGCAAAACGAAGATTTTCATTCTTATCCTCATCTGGGAATTTCACAAACCAGCTCCTTATTTCTCCTACAATGTTTTAATTAATAAATTATATTCAGAATCTTCAACTTCACAGATTGCATTGTTTAATTAGATTTTTGAGCTTGATTGCAGTATGTTGTCTTCACATTTCATGTGAAGCTCAAACATTCTCAAAAGCACAATCAATCTAAATAAAATACATAGAGGATATTCAATATTTTGTAGGTGAATATGGAAATTATTTCACGAGTGGGACAGGATTTTTTGATATTTTCACGAGTGCCAAGCACAGGTGAATTACACTCAATTTATGTTAATTACATTTTCTTTAATTTTCCCTTTGCCTTGGTCTTTTCATAACATAGTCTCATAGGCTGTGACGTCATAGTTGAGCGGTTGAGACGTCATAACTAAGCGATTGCGAGATTGAAAACATTTTAAACATGGATCTTAACAAAGAGTTAAAGATATTTTTGATAAAGGTGAATTGTCTTACTCACAAAAACTTTCTGTCATATCACTGATCTATAAAAAGGGGGAAAAGATAATTTGAAAAATTATAGACCCATTAGCTTAACGAACACAGATTACAAAATTATTGCCTTTGTCTTTGCAAAAAGATTACAAAATAAATTATCTAAGCGAAAATGCTAGATTAGTACTTGAATATTCAGATGGTATTTTACTTTTCTTAGACTTTGAAAAAGCTTTTGACTCGGTTGAATGGAATTTTCTTTTTCAAGTCTTACAAAAATTTAATATTGGCAATAGTATTATAAAGTGGGCAAAAATATTTTATATACAAGCCCAATTTTTAAATGAAAAACAACAGCTGGCTTTCTAAAACCTTCGAAATGACAAGAGGCATTAGGCAAGGATGTCCAATTTGCGCTCTTTTGTACCTCCTTGTCTATTAGCTATTAAGATATAATGTGATAAGGATATAAAAGGTTTAACAATCAATAATTGCGAAATTAAAAACATCCAACTTGGGGACGACTTAACTGTAGCTTTAACCCTCTGGCTGCGGGAAGGACATATATGTCCTTTTACCGTTCGCTGCGGGAAGGACATATATGTCCCTGGCGACGTTATAAATGTTGCGTGATTTCTCTTTATTTTTATTTTATTTATTTTTTTTTTTTTTTGAGATTTTCTTTAGTATTATTACATTTTCACAGCATTTTTTGATAAAAGGATTGAATAATTTAAAAGCATTTGCATTTAAATGTAAATTAAATAAGCCAGTCACACATTTATTTAATTATTATATTATATGCACATGTATTTTTTTTTTCCATGCATGTGATTAATTCTTAAATGCGCAAACGAAATACTTTTTTCGTATTATTATGACTGTGAAATTAGAACATACGTAAAAGTCCATTATAAAATATATATTTTTTAAAAAATGTCAAGTTATACTAATAAAACGTTTTATAAGATTTCCTATACAGATCTAATGAAAATACCCCCCCCCCCCCCACACACACACACACACACACATTTAGAGAGAAAATAGCGTTATCTTTTAGTAATATAATTTTCTTTTTTAAAAAATTACAAAATGTTGTCATTTTTTCATTATTACTTAATCTGTCCGACATTAGAAACCAAAAAAGAATTATGCTTCCAGATTTGGTTCTGATTTTGATTTGAATCCGAAAGCAAAGATAAAGTTTCTTTGCCATCAATATAGAAAAATGCAGGGTGTGTGAATGATTTTTATTATCCGCATACTATCAAACCATTTCCCCGACATACGCACGTTTACCCACATTACGTCGAACCCCCTCCCCCGTCGAATTATCACATACCTGATCCTGTTATATTTTCTTGATAGATTGATGTGCAGAGCAGGTTCTATCTTCGAAACACGACCCCAAACCCTAAATTCGAGGAACCATAAATTGTCAAATACTACAGTTTATTAAAGTACACTTAAAATTAAGAAATCTTACAGGCATGAATCTGTCGCGTTTTAGGACACATGCACAGGTGCGTATCCAGGATCCCGCAAATTCCAAAGGTGGGGTGGGGTTTCGGACCCCCCCCCCCCACCTACCCATCCATCCGTGCATGCTGCATATTACATGTAAGATGTTAAGATCAGAGGCAGGTTTCATATTCTCTCTATGTTTCTTCATGGCAATGATATCGCAACATATACCTCGCGCGGGACCGCTAGGTATGACCAAACGCACACGTCCATTACTGAACTTCACATGTACATAAATAGCTCATTTTCAAAGGATAACATTTAGCAAGAGATTTAACATGTTCTGTATATACATGTACTGATAAAATATGGTTGGATTTAAAATGCTAGTTTTTTTTAGCATGTAAACACTTGCATTACCTGGATTTTCTTAAAGACTTTACAAACACATGTAAATACATGTATGCACAAATACTCTGTTGTGAAATGTAAATGTCATCGAGCTCAAATATATATTGGGTAATTTTGTCCTTTAACAGTGACATTGTTCTGTAGTGTATGTGCCTGCCAAAAAGTCGCATAAAAAACTGTTTGTTTGAGCAGAGTCTAAATGATACAATAATTCTCTGTCTATTAACATTACCTCAAAAAATTGAAGAAATCTTTAATGTGTTCGCTTTCAAAACCCAAGGAATTCATTTTCCCACCAAAATACTATCACAATTAACCCCGATTTTAACGAAACACAGGGTTTGTTGAAAAAAGAAGAAAGAAAAATTCATTTTAAAAATAAATAGATAAGAACCAAATAATGTGTGTAATAATTTTGTAATCCCCTTGCTCTCCCGTTGTCAGTTAAATGAATTAAGCCATTGATATTTCACCAAAAAAATTGCACGTAGATTACAAATACAACCAGCAGATATGTAAAAAGGGGAGGGGGCACGGTTTGCATTTAATCGGATAAATAGTCGTGGTTGCTGTCCTCTCGTGTTCTAAATATAGGTGTTCATAATTTTGACATTCATTCTCCAATTTTAATCACGTGATTAGTACACAGAAAAACGATTAACATCTTGTTTACAAACAAACACACACGACCTTTTGGGACCCATTTTGGGACATACTCTTCATCCTGTATTAGTTTATTATAAGTGTATTTATTTTCCAATATCTTAATTCATAACCACCACCATCACCCCCCCCCCCCCCCCATCTTCGCTAGCCAAGGGTTTCCGATCCGAAATCTACTCTACAACCCTTGGCAGATGTTGTAGAGTAGATTTTGGATCGGAAACCCTTGGCTAGCGAAGATGACCCCCCCCCCCTCCCCCCAAAAAATCCAGATATTCATAAACAGTTATCTATCGCATCCTTTCCCTTTGAACCCCCCCCCCCCCAAAAAAAAAAATTCTTACATAGGCCTATAAAATAAAAAGAACTTTTATTTATAGTTTCAACCTTGTTCTGAACAACAAAAAAGGATGTGTTATTTACAAAAACAAAAACTCAGTAATAAATTTTTAAGGAAACGGATAAATATGCTTTTAACTTGTTTCCAAATCCCGTTTAATCTTTGTCAAGTGTATGTTTATTTATTATGCTTGTAATTTTAAAAAATGGTTTAAACTAGGATTTATTACCCAATGTTAAAACATTTTTTTTATTTAAAAAGAAAACAATGCCCTTTTCAACCGAAGTCTTCCTTTACAAAACACCCTTCTTGCTAGTTTATAGAATATCCCATATATCATGGTGAACATTACATCTTAATCTCATCTTTCATGAACAATACAGCTGGATACTAAGATGTGGAAACGGAGCAAAAAATTTTCTAACATTATAATAGCTATTGTATTGGTTTGAATTAAATTTTGAATTCTTCTCATTATCCTTTCACTTTCTCTCATAAAATAAAATATTGTTCGTATGTATTTTAACTTTACAGCATAATTTCAATACAAAATGCAAAAGTTCCCTGATGTCTATTTTGTATAAAATAAGATTGCCGATATCGACTTGTCCGACAAATCGTTGGAATTATATGACTCCGATATCAGCTAGATCGATCCAAAAAATATGGAATACAACCCTAATTTATTTTCTTTTCAGGATTTTATTCGATATTGCCCCATAATTGATGCAGTTGAATTCGTTTATCAAATTTTACTTCCGAAAAACTGCAAATATTTTTTTTCCCTTTAATCGATCTCATCCATAAAATATGGAATTACAGAATTAATGTTGCTTAAAATTACCTCTGATATACAAATTATATTTTTTCAACTGGTCTATATATTTATCAGTTTAAGATTGTATTTTGCAAGTTTTCCTATATACCAAGGATTATTTTTGATTAACAACACCTTATAGTCAATGCCTATATCATTTATCGGCAGCTAGGGAAGTGGGCTACGCACAAAAATTAGCCATTAAGACTTTTACTCCCGCCAAATTAACAGAAGCATTACACTGAACAGCTTAATGGTAATTTTTTTTCCTAATTGCTGGTTCATTAATTAAAAAAACAAATCAATTAGCCTAACATGTGTTTCATCATTCAGTCAACATTAATGCTAAAATGAAATATTTATACAACTTCTATAGAATACATTGTAATAAATTAAATTCAAATTCATGGATCAAAGTTGTTTTATTATGATTTTTTTTTCAAAGTGAGAACCGTTCTTGGAGGAATTTAGCTTGCTTTTTATTTAATTTAGGAATAGAAAAATCTACGCGGGCTGCAGAAGCAAAATTAATAGAACGTTATATTTTCTGTACACTGACGTCGCAGCCAGAGGGTTAAAAGACGAATTAAGGATACACCAAAGGCTTTTTTCAAGATTTTCAACAATTTTGAGATTTTTGGCTAAGAAAAAGAAGTTAATCACTGCTTTATAATGCATGTAAAATTCTTGGTAATTATGAAATGGTTTTCTAATTATTTAACAATAATGAAACATAAACACTATCACATGAGAATGTTCCGTTATTGAAGCTTCTGATTTGATCTGTGACTGCCTGCTCATGAAAGACGCAATAAATCACTGTGACCACTTGGGGAATTCTTCACTAGCCACAAAGAGATTATCAGTAATTAAAC